CTCTCTCTCTCTCTCTCTCTCTCTCTCTCTCTCTCATATATCAATCACACCCTTCTTTTCTAAAGTCTAAAGTTCTGGAAATGGAAATCTCTCATGGATTGCTTTGACCCTATGAAAACACATATATATACATGTTTAATATGTAGCACACCAAAACTAGTGTACATGTATATCATTTATCTTATTGTAATCATAACATTTTAAAATTTTGTATGGCTGAAATATTGAACAGAGTAATATGTATGTTTGATACTGTTTCAAAATTATCTTCTGCCATTGCCAGAACTCGAGAGCATCTTTTAGGCTTTACACACAAATGCAACACATTAAAACAGAAATTGTTTTCTTGACAAAATTTATTCAGCAAGTCAAAATACATGTTGATGTACAATACACTATTGTCTCCCAATTTCAATTTCATCTCAACACTTCATAAAATACATTTTATTTATTTAAAAAAAGCAAATTAGCAATTGAATAAATTGGGTGACCAATGAACATGGCAGATAAAGAACATATTTTCTTAACAATTATCTGTTTTCCGTACAAAATCACATCACAAGTATATATTTACTCCAGTAAGAAAAGGTCATGTCTATGTAACTTTAAAAAGTCAGTATACAAACTTATTCAATAATTAATAGACCGGTCTAAACATATTCAAATTTGATGCATACTTTTTAAAGGAAACCAAAATAATTGCATGATTGCCTGACATAGCAACAAGTAATGTACAGACTGGATTTCAGGGATTGTAGTTCATTCATTGATAACAGGTTGATGGGATACTCAATCACTTGGTCCTCAGGAAAGAAATATCCATAAATTTGAATATATTAGTAAACCAGTCAATTCATCACAATTCTTCTTTGGAGAATAAAAATCATACATTATAAGCAATTGGCCAAGTCAGATCCTTGCTTTAGAAAGTTACTCCTCCCAAATAACATTCAATAAGTCAACAAAATAAGGTCTGCCTTCAGGTACAGAAAGTTACATTTCTTACACCAAATAGTCCAAATTAAGAATCAAGTATTAAGGTGAATATGACATACTTCCCAAATTGTTTTTACAAAATGTTGCAAGAAGATCACAAAATACAATATTCACTATCGGTACACTCTTCATAAAAACATTTAAAACATATCAAAACAAGAATGGAATGATAAAAAACAACAAGATTAAATTAAATGGTAGCTTCAACATTGAGCTGTTAAGTTTTCATCAAATGCAATATAGAATATCAAACTTTGGGAGAAAATTTACAATTTTGAATCATTTCACAAATAAATATGGATTTCCTTGTGTTCCATGAATAGGTTGAAAAAACCATGAATCAGATAAAATTTAAACGGCTTGAAACAGTCTTCTCTATTATTAATAATTTTAATAATAGGCAAAGTTTGCATTCTCTGTCATGAAATAGCAATAAAGACATTCTAGATTATGATGATTTTCCTAACTGTCAAACTGAGATACAGCTACTGCGCCAAATTAAGACGGATCAAGAGGGGGTGTTATCACAGGGGTTTCAGTTACAATGAGAGAAGAGATCTCTGTCTAGAAAATGAAGCACTTGCCGTGCGCAGCACACGACACATGCCCCATTGGAATAGAGTGCATTGGACCAGCAAGCATGGTCTTTTGTCAGTCTTCGGATGTACTAACAGAAGTGGGAAATATAATCGTGCAAAGTCTTTCCATGATTTTCCAAATCCTAAGAAGAGACAAGAGCACTTCAAGAAGTGCACATTCTAAATCGCATTCGACATGAGTTAAATTGGAACATTTCCCCCCAAAGAAGAAGTTTTGAAAACAATGTGGCGGGAAAATAGAAATGATATAAGGGGGAAGGTAAATAATTGCATTGTGGTTTTACGTCACTAACTTGGTTAGTGTGGAAGAAACCAGTTCATCTACTTATTTCTCGGGACAAACCAGACTAAATACAAGAACAGAAACAAAGGAGGTACAACATGGTGGTTTTGAAAGGGTGTGACTGGTCATTCAACCCAACTCTACACTGACCTCCGACCCGGAAGGACATCCCTGCCCTGAAGATAACTAATATTCTGCCAGGCAACTGAATAATGTCGAAGAGACCAGCTCCTCTACATATTTTTCCGGACAAACAAAACTGATACAAGATCAGAAACAAAGAAAGTATAACATGGTGCATACATGCCAACATTTGAAAATCAGAAATCTGTACAAATTATGCTATTTTCAAAAAAAAGAGGAACAATCCTAACTCTCCTATTCAATACTACAGACAAATTTGTACAGGAAGAGGAACACCTACATTAAAATGATAATTATCTTCTCCCAAAAAGAGGAATGTTCCTCTTTAATCTGAACAGTTGGCATGTATGCATGAGAGGGTGTGATCAGCCAACCCAATTCTCCACTGACCTCAACCTCATTGGCAATGACGATTCTCTTGGGACCCGGATGTCTGCCAAAGAGCTACAGAGGGCCATGATTGGTCAAGTTACTTCGATCATGGAAACCACTACGAAGCGAATGTGAAGCTGACTACACCAGTCACCTAGGTAGAAGTGGGGATCGATGCTATTGATATCCGCGTCTCACCATCAACGCAGGGAGTGGTGGACTCAGTAGCTGGGCTGAAGGGAAAAGTATCGAGTATGCTTCGTCAGATGGAGGAGGCGGAATTGTCAGACTCTGAATCAGACGATGCTGACGAATCAGCCACCTCCGATCCCCAAAAGATAAAAGTGGGGAAGGACATCCCTGCCCTGGAGATAAATAATATTCTGCCAGGCGACCTGGTTAATGTCGAAGAGACCAGCTCCTCTACATATTTTTCGGGACAAACCAAACTGATACAAGAACAAAAAAAAGAAAGTATAACATGGTGGTATTGAGAGGGCCATGATTGGTCGAGTTAAATCGATTGTGGAAACCACTACGAAGCGAGTAATGTTTTATTGTCGTGTTTGCACTAGCTCAGGGATGCATTGTTTTGAGTTTGTTATACTTGCCATTTATATGTCACTTACAATATATACCTTGTGTTCAAGTTGTGACATGTTTACGGGTATATTGTATTTGTTAGATAGTAGGAGAAAAGAAGAGGGTTGCGCTTTATTTTAACTTGGCTATGCATATATATATTATTTATGAAAAGATTTACATGTACATCAAGATACACCTGATGCATTGTGTTTTAGTCCATGTATTCCTCCATTTTTGTGGGTATAGACTGGTTTTCACAACTGTGGAAGAAAGCGCCCAAGACCTCCCACAAATACCTAAGTGCACTATAAAATAAAAAAAAATCATCAAATACCTGAGGACGAAGCTGGACACACATGAAACGGTGCCATGGGACTTGCTCCAAAAATGTCTCATGAGGACCAAAGATTTCATGAGAAGTCTGGCAGGACTGATTAAGATCAGGGAAAACCCTTTTGTGTATGGAAATGTCTGGAAATCTGCATTAATTTTTCATAAATTTTCCTCCTTTTTTGTGAGTATAAAATAGTTTTATAACTGTGGAAGAAAGCACCCAAGACCTCCCACCAATACTTCAGCTCCCTGAAGTTCATCAAATACATGATGACAGAACTGGACTATGAAGCGTTGCCCACGGACCTGCTTCAAAAATGTTTAATGAGGACTGATGAGTTCATGAGAAGTCTGGCAGGTCCGATAAAGATAAGGGAAAACCTGCCAAAATCAAACATTATGATGACAGAACTGGACTATGAAGCGTTGCCCACAGACCTGCTTCAAAAATGTCTGATGAAGACCAAGGAGTTTATGAGAAGTCTGGCAGGTCCGATTAAGATCAGGGAAAACCTGCTGAAATCAAAGCAGGAGATGACGAAGAACATGAGGAGGAGGAGGAAGAGGAAGTCTTCAATGATGACCTCGGTAAGGAGGGGAAGTCCCTGATCAAAGGTCAAAAGTGTATTGTGTATGTGTCTATAATTTTGCAATTGCTACAACTTGTATACTGCTTAGTGTGTAAAGAGAAGTGGTTGCTTCAGAGATCTTCTCTACACATAGATATGTCTATCGACTTTGAACACTCAACGATGTGGGGGCAGGTGAAGGACCAATGTGTGTGCCTGACAAAAAGACACAACAGAGAGCGATGTAAACGCAAAACACATCACAGCACGAGAACGTGTCGGCAACATAGCGTGGAGCTCGAGTACGAAGAGTAAGATTCTTCCCGCTTTTCACCTCGGTCAAATCCCTTCATGTTTGTTTTTCTTCTTCTTCATTTTTAGGGGGGGGGGGGGGAGGTGGAGGGAAAAACTTGCAATGAAAGCAAAGTCTCTCATCAAAGTGTATTGTGTATGTGTCTATAATTTTGCAATTGCTACAACTTGTATACTGCTTAGTGTGTAAGAGAAGCGGCTGCGTCAGAGATCTTCTCTACACTGTGCATGGGAGGGGGCACTGTGTATGTGTCTATAATTTTGCATTACTACAACTCATATACGGCTTAGTATGTAAGAAAAGCGGCTGCGTCAGGGATCTTCTCTACACTGTGCATGGGAGGGGCACTGCTGTGCTAGTCAAGTGGCAATGCAGTGGGGGCCATGCTGGTGGTAAGTGGTGGTCGCAGCCCAAGTTTAAAGGTGTGTATGCTGGTAATTTACATATGGCTTCCGCCCTCATCATGTCCGGAATTAACTTTTCTAAGATCCATCTCATGACCAAGTGTTTTAAGCTACACTTTTTTTCAGAGTCCAGTTTTTATAGATATCAACGTTTGTTTATTGCCCCTGCAGTAGCAAAGTACTGGTCAGACAAGCAGAGAGACCTAATACACGATCTTCAGGGAACGTCTGTTATTATAGCAGGTGATGGGCGCAATGATTCCCCGGGCCATTCGGCACAGTATTGTACATACAGTGTTTTAGATGCGTCGTCTGGACGAATTTTACACGTAGAGGTGGTAGATGTGAGAGAGGTAGCTGGCAAGAGTAGATGTGAGAGAGGCAGCTGGCAAGAGTACCAATATGGAGAGGATCGGTTTTGAGAGAGGCATGTCATTTCTCGCTGGCAAGGTGGATGTCAAGACGATGGTCACAGATGCTCATCCTCAGATTATGGCTGTGATGAAGCGATGCGAGAAGTATGAGGGCATAGGACATCAGATTGATGTCTGGCATGGTGGCAAGAATCTGACAAAGAGATTTGTCAAGGCTGCGTCAGAGGAGAGGTGCAAACCTCTGATGCCTTGGGTGCCAGCAATCAAGAACCATTTCTGGTATGTATCCAAGTCATGTGGAGGGAATGCAGACACTCTGTCTGTATGTCTCTCTGGCCAGCATGCATATTGAACCATGTGTGCAATGAGCATGAGTGGGAGCTGTGAGCTGATGGCAGTCCAGGCAAGTGCAACCATGGTCCTCTAACGGAAGATGCTAGCGAGAGGAAGCCCTGTCTGGAGAAGGATTCTACTTCTCATAGGGCACTGGAGAGAGTTTTGTGCAATACCCGCTTCAGAAACACTCTCCCATACTATGCTGTGTTTCTTCATACTGGGAAGTTGGAGAGCTTCCACAGCCATATGTTGATGTATTGTTCCAAGAGGCATGCTTTCAAGTATATTGGATACTCAACAAGAGACCTCCTTGCAGCGATGGACCACAAAACCCATCTGGATCTTAAAGGTGTTAGATCCTATAGGAGTGACCAAACTGTGTACTCACCACTGCAGCATTTGAGGTAACTCTGTAGCATGACAAGCAGAAGATATGCCATCTCTTCTCTACACCACCTGAAAAAGCTAGTCTCAATCACTTTATCCTCCTCCAGCTCAAAAGAAGGACATAGTTCCTGTGACAACTGCATCTTTCCTTGACAAATTACCTTCAGGGAAGAGGAATCGTATACCAAGACCAAGCCCACTACATGTATGTAATTACAAAACTTCAGATATGTCGAAACATGTAGAAAGGAAACACAGACTAAATGGAGAAGAACGATGGAAATACATGATCCAGGTATGCTTGACCACACTACACACTTTAACAACACCATATGTCTGTTAATATGGACAGACACAACTAACCAGTGTTGAACTTGGAGTACATGCCTCAAAAGGAAGTGTAAAGACAGCAGGTCTATGTGCCACTTAATAGCAAGTGATGTGCTGTTATCCAGGTTATCTATTTTTCATGGTGAACTAACTGGGGGGTCCTGAAGAAGCTGTGGTGGTGGTTTGTCATAGTGAATCTTGCTTGCATAGTGAATCAGGTTCACCACTGCCTGAATGAATTCCTCCTCATGGCAGGCATACACTGTGTTACGCTTGTCCTGGCTGAAGGGCTTACTGATACACTGACTGTGCTGATAATTCCTCACAGACAGATCGCTTGCTTTTGAATCTCCGGAAGCTGACAAGAAAGCCACCGAACATGCATCCGTTGGCTGCTCCACCCTTTCACCTAAAATCTCCTGAAGAATATCTTGACCGATCACCATCAAGGGTGATGAGGGCCATACTGGTTGTGGTGATCTCTATGGGGAAGATTTATGTTCTTCTTCTTTTTTTTTTTTACATATCTACAGTGTCTGCTCTATTTCTTTATGAATTTCCACATTATTTCCACAGCTGGATGTAAACTCTGGTAAATCAATGAGGTCTGAATCATCAATTTCGCCACAAGTTCTAGAATGAATTCAGATCAGGACTCTGACTTGGCAGTTAGAGGACATTGACATTGTTTTTCTTTGAACTATTTATTCACTACCTTGGCTGTATGTTTCAGATTAATTAATCAATATCAATATCGCATACCTGCATCAGAACCGAATCAGAGAAAGTAGATCGGGAACAACATGTGGTGCAGGTCAAGGAATCTGAACTAAAGAGAGTTGTTGTTGCTGCACTAGTTACGATCAATTAAAACTGCAAATGAACACCAAGTAGATTCATGCAATGCTTCAAAATTACATTTGAGGATGGGTTGGTTCAAGAAACATTTGGAGAGGACATGGACTTGTACGACTTACTCAAGGGATCACCGATCGTACATGTAGCTGAGATGCTCTCGTCTCATTTTGGTGATTACACGGTGGTAACAAAAGAGTAGGTTGCACTTGAAAACATTATTTGTAAATAGTTTGCAACCCTAGGGTTAGAGATTTTTTTTGGTAGCAGTATTGAATAGGGAATTACAATTACAGTACTTCATCAAACCTGTGAAACCACATTACTTTACATGCATGCATGTCAACCAAACATGTGACCAATTTCATGATTCCTATGGAATAGACAACTTCTAGTGCCAAAAATAAAAATGTTGTTACATTTTATAAAAACTATTATTTTATGTGAATTTTTGTAACTCAGGGCTATCAACGATGTGAGCGTATGATGCAATGAGCAGGACTTGCCAAAATGCTAGTCTTCAAATTCCGGAGAGAATGACAAGCGTAAATCTTCGTAAATATATGGCTACCCTGGTGCAAGTTCTAAACCTAAAAGATAATGAAATGGATCGGGTGCACCGCCATCTAGGCCACACAAAAACAGTGCACATGGAGCATTATAGGCAGATGTCTCCCAACCTTGAGAGGGTTCAGGTAGGTAAAATCCTTCTTATGCAGGATCTGAACATTTATTGCACTGTGTACTATCTTGGATGAAAGTGTTTTGTACTGTGTACAATTTGGTAATGATATTTCCTTTAAGTGTTAATTATTAATGAAAACCATTACTTATTTTCTTTTGTTTGGACCTGCAGTCAGAACAGGAATCACAATCAACGCAGCAAAGCGAAGCGGAAACAATAGTAGTCGAGGAGATTAACAACAAGTTATTTGAGGGATTCTGTGTAGCAGCTGAAATGGCAGGGCAGTCTCAATATTGATGACGATCACAAAGATATTGATGAAGATCTTGAGGATGTCGATAAAGCTCCTGAAGTTTAATGGCCTGCTGGTGAAAAGCGAAAGCAAAATAAAAGGGAATTGATGAACAAAGCTTGTCCAGTGTCACGATGGACTCACAAAGAAATGCTTGACTTGAAGAAGTACCTCTCTGCTAACTTTGCAACAAAAGTAACAACTGGTAGAAAGGAATGCCAGAAGGCGATTGGGGCAAGCAAACAAAATGGTTGAACACTTCAGCATCGTCATTGGCATCTGATAGTCAAAAAGATGTCAGCTCTGCTTGCAAAATTAAGAAAATAGGACATCGGCTATGATAAACTAGTGGTCAAAGGTCAAGGATAATTTCATTGAAAAGTATTATTAAAAACAGAAAGTTCATCACCGGCCATACCAAGGGTCAATGCTGGTAGGGAGCATGCGCTGCAGCAGGTACGTGACTAGTGCATGACGTTTATGTTTTCTTGCAGCCAACCCATCTCCCATAAAAACATCACTCCAATACTCAAGATTTGTCCAATCTGTGACCTTCCTGTCCAGAAGCTGGACAACCATCTAGCAACGACCCATGACATTCCAAGAAAGTCAGCTAAAATGAGGTCTATCCTGAATGGCCTCATAACACTCAAACAAGACATTGTTCTAAGTAGAAAAAGAAGACATGATCTTTCACCATTTCAAGGTTCACCTGGCAGCCAAGAACGGGGGTGACCGGAACGCAGAGGAGACGGCGAGAGGACATATGTCACATGTCAAGAAATTTGCTGATATGGTTCGGGGATTAGCAAACCTTCTAAACACAACGGATTTGGGCGAATGAATCAGAGATTTGCACTGCCTTTTGTGCCCGAATTGGCATGGGAAAGATTATATTATTATTTTGAATGGGAAGGTACATTTTCAAACTTTCTAAATATCATTGTTTCAACATTTTATTGTGCACATTTCAAATCAAACAGACCTGAGCATGTTTAGTCAAAAGTTATTCAGGTGAAAATAGTGTTTAGTTTGAAACATTGACCATTTTACTCCAAACTGTGAGCAAATGTGCCTCTCAAAAATATTGAGGATCCATGAATTATGTTTAAATGTTTATAAAATTTAACAGAGTGTAATTCTCTTGTTTTTTATCATAGAAAAGTCATCAATGACATTGAAGTCCCTGTGTGCATCATTGGAGATCCTGCCTACCCTCTGAAGAAGTGGCTGATGAAAGGTTTCATTAACATTAACAACGTCACCCAGCAGCAACAGCGTTTCAACTTCCAATTGAGCTCAGCTCGTACATGTATGGTTGTTGAGAATGCATTTGGTAGATTGAAAGGACGCTGGAGAAGGCTCCTGAAAAGAAACATGACCCCAGCCGGCAGAGCTTACCTTTATAAGTTTGAAGAAGGAGAACTGGACATGTTGGCAGATAAATTTCTTTGAAATAAGAAGTAAAACACAATTGTGTTCCAGGACAAAAACCTGTAAATACTTACCATGGTTTCAGAAATATGAATGTTTGTGTAAATGTTATAACACATAACGAACAAGTTTGTGGAAGCCACTGAGCAGTAATGTAATTATTTGCACTAAGAATAAATGATGACAAAGAGGCAAGTGAAGGGTAATGATACATTGCTATGAATTATGAACATGCAGGGCCCCTACAACGGCTGCCAGGCCAAGGTGAAAGAGCGACAGCAGTTAGCACTGAACTTCCATTGTGGATCTCACATGTCGAATCTTGTGATGCAACACGGTGTCGAGGCATGTCCCATTATTCGGGATGCTGTGCAGTGGGTTCACGAGCTTGGTGTACTTTTCAATCGTTCAGGAAAGTATAAGGTAACTTAGGTAAGATTACTAGTTTTTATCTAATGTTGATTCAAAATGCCCATCATAATTCTATTCATGGTTAGTTTCAGATCCTAATGATCTAAACATTTAGAAGAATGTTTGAAATAAGATAATGGAAGTTGGAGTCCAGTGTTCAAAAGAATTCTTAATCTAAATCTGGACGACCACTCGACCGTCTTTCTCAAGTAATTTGGTTAGCACTGTATCACGTCTGTCTCACGCAAGTGCTATCCAAGATACTTGTCACTTGAGAAAGATGGTCGGATGTTCGTTAAAATGTAATGGAACAATTTTCTCAGGAACTCCAGATTTTAGATTTAGATTAATTGTTCTTTTGAACAAATGAACAATGTTAACAATTATTGTTCTGGTTATTCTGGTTATATCTCTTCCGCAAGTGGCAGAATAAATTTGCATAAATTAGCATAGATTCTGTGTAGAAGTTTTAAATCCCCCTCCTAGCCCTATCATATGAAACAATCAGAATCAAAATCGGTTGAAAAATAATGAAGAAGAAGCACTATGAAAACTGTGGACGGAAGGACGGACGGAAGGACGGACGCCACGCCATGGCATAAGCTCATCGGGCCCTTCGGGCCGGATGAGCTAAAAAGAACTCGGTGTTGATTGCAGTCCATCAACGATTCGTCGTCACAGAAGGAGACTAGGATGGTTGTGCACCAGAACAAAGGCAATAAGTCAGGAAGAATAATTGTGCTGCTCGACCTCGACTTTCCATCCCAAATTCAATCTATAGATGTCATATTGCGTTAAGATGTGATAACTTAATTTTCCAATAAAACATTGTCCTAAGTAGAAACAGAAGACATGATCCTCAACGATTTTAAGGTACACCTGGCAGCTAAGAACGGGGGTGACCGCAACGCCGAAGAGACGGAAAGAGGCCATATGGCACATGTAAAGAAATTTGCAGACATGGTTGGGGGGTTGGCAAACCTTGCGTCTAGATGTGATAATTTAATTTTGTAATAAAAAATTGTCCTAAGTAGAAACAGAAGACATGATCCTACACGAATTTAAGGTACACCTGGCAGCTAAGAACGGGGGTGACCGCAACGCCGAAGAGACGGAAAGAGGCCATATGGCACATGTAAAGAAATTTGCAGACATGGTTGGGGGGTTGGCAAACCTTGCGTCTAGATGTGATAATTTAATTTTGTAATAAAAAATTGTCCTAAGTAGAAACAGAAGACATGATCCTACACGACTTTAAGGTGCACCTGGCAGCTAAGAACGGGGGTGATCAGAATGCAGAGGAGACGGAAAGAGGCCATATGTCTAATGTCAAGAAATTTGCAGACATGGTTGGGGGGTTAGCAAACCTTGCGTCTAGATGTGATTATTTAATTTTGTAATAAAAAATTGTCCTAAGTAGAAACAGAAGACATGATCCTACACGACT